TGTTGCCCAGGCTGGAGTGCAATGGTGTGATCTTAGCTCACTGCAACCTCCACCTCCCAGGTTCAAGTGATTCTCCTTCCTCAGCCTCCCAAGTAGCTGGGATTACAGGCATGCACCACCATACCCAGCTAATTTTGTTTGTTTGTTTTTTTTGAGATGGAGTCTTGCTCTGTCACCCAAGGTGGAGCACAGTGGCACGATTTTGGCTCACTGCAACCTCTGCCTCCTGAGTTTAAGCAATTCTCTGCCTCAGCCTCCTGAGGAGCTAGGATTACAGGCATGTGCCACCATGCCCAGCTAATTTTTGTATTTTTAGTACAGGCAAGTTTTCTCCATGATGGTCAGGCTGGTCTTGAACTCACGACCTCAGGTGATCCGCCCACCTCGGCCTCCCAAAGTGCTGAGATTATAGGCGTGAGCCACCGTGCTTCACCAATTATGTGATATTTTTTATTGCAGTAAAATTATAACATGGTATAAATGTGGAGACCTTAGCCATTTTAATATACTGGAGTTAGCCAGGCACGGTGGCTTACACCCGTAATCCCAGCACTTTGGGAGGCCTCGGCAGGGGTGGATCACGAGGTAAGGAGTTCAAGACCAGCCTGGCCAAGTTGGTGAAACCCCGTCTCTACTAAAAATACAAGAATTAGCCGTGTGTGGTGGAGTATGCCTGTAATCCCAGCTACTCATGAGGCTGAGGCAGAAGAATCGATTGAGCCTGGGAGACAGAGGTTGCGGTGAGCTGAGATCGTGCCACTGCATTTCAGTCTGGGTGACAGAGCGAGACTCTGTCTCCAAAAAAAAAAAAAATGTGCTAGAGTCATTCCAGAACTTATCCAGAAAAGAGTAGACAAGTTATAAAGATTCAATTTCAACTTAGCACAAATGTTGCAGTGTGAAAAACTAGGGTATCAGTTTGGGCTTGGTGGCTTATGCCTGTAATCCCAACACTTTGGGAGTCCTAGGTAGGAGGATCACTTGAGCCCAGGTGTTCAAGGTCAGCCTGGGCAACATGGCAAAACCCCATCTCTACAAAAAAATACAAAAATTGGCTGGGTGTGCTGGTGCGTGCTTGTAGTCACAGCTACTTGGGAGGCTGAGGTAGGAGGATCTTTTGATCTGGGAAGGTCGAGGTTGTAGTGAGCCATGATCGTGCCATTGCACTCTAACCTGGGTTACCCAATGAGACTCTGTCTCAAGCAGCAAGAGCAACAACAGAGAAAAAAACTAGGCAGGCACGATGGCTCATGCCTGTAATCTCAATACTTTGGGAGGCTGAGTAGGATGGATCACTTGAGGTCAGGAGTTCGAGACCAGCCTGACCAATATGGTGAAACCTTGTCTTTACTAAAAATACAAAATTGGCCGGGCATGGTAGCTCATGCCTGTAATCCCAGCTACTCAAGAGGCAAGAATTGCTTGAACCTGGGAGGTAGAGGATGCATGAGCTGAGATCATGCCACTGTACTCCACCCTGGGCAACAGAGCAAGGTGAGAAAAAAAAAAAGGAAAAATTAGTGTGTCTAATTGTTAAATGTAAGAATTTAGTGCAACTAATTTAATTGAAAAGCAAGAAAATAAACTGGTTTATTGGGCCAGGTGTGGTGGCTCACGCCTGTAATCCCAGCACTTTGTGAGGCAGAGGTAGGCAGATCACGAGGTCAAGAGTTCGAGACCAGCCTGGCCAACATGGTGAAACCCCATCTCCTCTAAAAATACAAAAATTAGTCAGGTGTGGTGGCATGTGCCTATAATCCCAGGTACTCCAGAGGCTGGGCAGGAGAATTGCTTGATCCTGGGAGGCAGAGGTTGCAGTGAACTGAGATTGCGCCATTGCACTCTAGCCTGGGCGACTGAGCAAGACTCTGTCTCGAAGAATAAAATAAAATAAATAAATAAATCAGAAGAAAAAGCTTCTGGAACATCAGAAGCTTCTTTTTCCCCCCCCAAAGTGCTGGGATTGCAGGCATGAGCTACCATGCCTTGCCTTTCCCTTTCCTTTCCTTTCCCTTCCCCTTCCCTTCTTTTTTCCCTTTCCTCTCCCCTCCCCTGCCCTTCCTTCCTGT